CCATACGCAGACACAGGACAAACCTCCTCCCCGCCTTTGTTTTCTCCTCTTTGGCACCACGAGCGGTCTGGGTTTGTAGGGCAGCAGCTTGGGAACACGAACTCACCGTAGGGTGATTTTGTCTTCATGCTGAACTCTTCCTGGAGATGTCAGCTGCCAGAACGCGTCGTTTCTGCTTCATGGGACTGCCTGAGTGCTCCGTGGGCACAACACAGTGACAAGGAGGGAAGGGACACTGGGAGGAATGCTCCAGTCTGAACGGCTCTGCTGACAGCTGCTGGGCTGAGCTGCTCCTTGCGGGGGCTCTGAGTGATGGAGGGCAGTGTGGGGTGACTGTGGTGGGCAGAACCACCGCCAGGTGATGGCTCACATGGACACAGATACAGGAGAAAACCCCGGGACCCTGCAGCCAAACACAGCTCGAGGCAGATGAATTTGGCAGCTCTTGGGCCCCTTCTGTTCTGACATTCACATCTAAGGTCCATAGGGATGGCTGTCTCCTCCACTGCCCATGCTAAGCTGGGGGTGTCCGAGGGGCAGGAGGGCTGATGTGTGCCATGCAGCCATGGAAAGCCATGGAGTGACTTCCAGAAGCCGCATCATGGCCTTTCGGAGGGCTCTGCCCCCAGCTGGGGGCTGCTTTCTGCCCAGGGGGTCTGAGCTCAGTGTTTTCCACCTGTTCCTTCCTTTGGAATCCCTGTGCATGCACAGAAGGGATGCGATGTGGAGGGGTGACTCTTTTGCCTGTAAGGAAGTGCAGGGAGCGCACAGCTGCTTTGGTCTCTGGCACATTATTGCCTTGCCTTGGTTTACTTGGTAAAACCCATTGGTTTATCTCCTTGCAGCTGCTCCCAGGGAGGATCTTGGCAACAGGGAGGGACACACATGGTCTGGGGAGCAGAGCCCAGGCTGTGGGCTGAGACCTTCCTCTTTCCCACGTCCCTGTGGTGCAACAAGCAGGAACCGAGCCCCATCCATCAGCCCACAGACAATGGCTTCAAACGCTGTTGGAAGGGCTATGAATCACATTGCACGCACACACACATGGGTCACTGCACGCTGGAAACAAAGGCGGTGCACCTGGCACAGGTGGCTGTGACCCTGTTTGCTCCAATAGCGCTGGTGGGGTCACCATCCCAGGGGCTGCGTGCCAGAACCGTGGGGATGTGGCACTGAGGGGTGGGCAGTGGGCATGGCGGGGGTGGGATTGAGGATCCCAGGGGTCTTTTCCAAGCTGAGTGATTCCGTGAGCTGAGGACAGTGCTCCACACGCTGGCTTTGGCTTAGCACCCCCTCCCAGTGCTGCTGGGTGCAGATGAGACCTGACCTTCCCCAAACACAGCACAGGGCCGTGGTGCGGCTCCCCGCAAAGCGAAGCCAGAGACAGAGGTTGGGTGGCAGCCGTCGGATCAGCCACGCCGTGCTGCTGCCAGCACCGAGGGGTCACACACTGCTGCTGCTGCTGCTGCTGCTGCTGCTCACCGACAGAACGCATTTTGGGGACGTGGGGATGAGGTGCTCTGACAGGCGGCAGTGCCCCGGTGCACGTGGAGCCGGCAGATCTCCTGCAGCGCTGTCAGCTGCACTCAGGGTGATCTGCTTGGCTTGGGGTTAAAGCTCCCCCTGTGCACGCCTGGAGCAGGAAGGAGTTTGCTCGTAGACATGGCAGCAGAAGCAACCAGCGAGGCACGAGGGCCAACACTGACGTCGCTTTTGCCGCAGCGATGCGAAGGGTTTTTTTTGCTTCTGAAGGACAAGGGGATGTTGAGGCCGTGGTGGCCCAAGGAATCGTGGCTGTATGGTCAGAAGGACTGCGGGTAATGGCAGCGTCACCGGGGGGTGTTTACAGTGTGACATTTCCATGCAGTCTGAAAAAAGAAAGCGCTCTGTTTTCAGGGAGAGAGCAGCACATCTCCCTGCTGCTGGAGGGGATGCAGAGCAGAGCACTGCAGTGGGACGAGGCACAATGGGATGGGAGCCTGGAGGGGAGTGGGACACATCCTGCACCTGCATCCTGACCCAGGACAGGAAAACCGCTCCTGCTTTGGGGTGTTGGTGTCAGCCATGGCATCAGCTGTACAGCCACGAGCCCCTCACCTCTAGGCTGCAGCTCTGCATGGGGGAGAATCTCAGGCCATGAGGATGCTCAGCCCCGTGAGGAGGATGCTCTGCTCCAAGATGGAGCCCCGTGCTTCTGGCTAGAGGGGTCGCATCATGCACCAATGCTTTGTGTCCTTCCCCAATGCCACTGCAGTGGGCAAAGCTGCTGGGAGCACTGGGAGCATTGGGAGCGCTGGCAGCCTACAGCACATTCCCTGTCTGTACAGAGCATGGCAAGGGGCCAGGCTGCACCCCTGCACACAAGGGACACGGACCCCAGGATGCTCAGGGCCACAGCTGTCACCTGCTGATGACCCCATAGCACTGCTGCACAGCCTCACCCGGTGTCACCTTAGGAAATGCCGTGTCGGTGGCCCAGAGAGGGGCAAGCTTCTCTCTGCCGCTGCTAATCCTGGCTGGAGCGAGATAAGAGATGCTATAGAAACTCCTCTGAGCCTGAGAACAGCTGTGCTAAATCCCTTTAGTCCTAACAAGAGGTGTTTCCAGGCAGCCCGGCTCCCATTACCCCGCCGGTACATGCTGTCCGCACCTCTTCTGTCCTGCACATGGCTCCCACTGGATCAGCAGGTGCTGTGCAGGGCTGTGGGGCTGGGCAGGGAGGATGCCCTCGAGCAGTGCACTCAAAGCACTTGGTGCCACCAGCAGTGATGTCCACACCAGGACATCTGATTCCCATCTCTATTCCCATCCTAACCCATCCTCATCCCTGTCCTCATCTCCATCCCATCTCGATCCCTGTCCCACCCAGCCCATGCTCATCTCTGTTCCCATCACCATTTTCCATTCCCATCCCCATCTCCAACCCCATCCTCATCCCAGCCCATCCTCATCCCTGTCCCCACCCCCATCCCCATTCTCATCTCCATCCCTGTCCGCATCCCACCCCCAACTCCATCCCATCTCCAACCCCATCCCTTTCTCATCCCCATCCCATCCCCACCCCATAACCTTCCCATCCCCATCCCCACCCCCATCCCCACACATTACTCGCTCCACTGATGCCTGGCCAGGAGCACAGGCAACCCCCAGCCCTGGTGCCACCTTGCAGTTAGAGCCTTTAATTAATCACCAACCCCCCATCCGGCTGTGGGGTCACCGTAGGGCCAAGCCCTCCCCGTCGGGGCAGCACGTACCCAGGAACAGGGAACAGGATCCTCCACAACACACTGTTCCAGACGGTGACACAGAGCACATATAGCGTCGGTACATCTATGCATCAGGGGCTGCAGAAAATGTATGGAGTTTCAGATTTCTCCTCTCACCTGTTGCTAAAGCAAAGGCCATTCGGATTTAATCTCCTGCTGGGGAACGGGTGGCTTTAACTCCCTCCTGTGTGGCTGTGGGTCGTGCTGGGGGTGCTGCCTGCCTGCTGGGGGCATTGGGAGCACGGGGGGCAACGGGATCAATGAGACCATGGGAGTCATAGGGAGTACTGAGGGACATTGGGAACACTGGAGGCAGTGGAAGAACTGGGAGCATTGGGGACAATGGGGTCACTGGGAGCACTGGAGCCATGGCACCACCAAGACTGCAGCTGCAGTACATCCACTGCCCATTCCCCATCCCTCACCCTGCTGATGCCTGGTTAACCTCAGTCCTTGTACCACCTTGCAATTAGAGCCTTTCATTAATCACCAGCCCTATTCAGGTGCCTGATCCTCTCCTGTTTTTGCCATATCTCCAACTCAGGACTCAGTTCCAGAGGGAGAAATGATGCCTCTCACCCCAGACCCCCAGGTTTCTGCCTGCAGAGATGGGAGCTCAGGATGCTTTCACCAGGGTTTCTCATAGCCACCCTGCCTCCTGTCTCGGTTGGAACAGCAGCACACGCAGCTGCCCTCACGTACACCATGAATTTATCCATGGGCAGAAGCAGGAGGCAAAGCAGGCAGTGTGGGGTGGGCGCTGGGTTGTCTGGCAGGTGACAGCCTGCGCTGTCCAAATGCTGCCACGGAGCACATGCTGAAGCCAAAAGATGGGCAGCAGGGCAAGCTCAGCATGAAGTCACTGCTAGTTGTTCCCATACTGACCCATCCGAGCTAAAATGTCACATTTAGGCTGGACACAAAAGGCTGCAATGGCAGCCGAGCTGCTGTCCCCCCTCCCTTGGCACAGGGTCCCCCCACTCTGCGCTCTCTCCTGCCAGCAGCCATCAGGTACAGCATAGAGAGACTCATGCAAAGGGCCTTTGGAAATATTCATTGCTCATCTCTTAATGAGATTACTTCCAAAATCCTCCGTTGCTTTGAGGGAGATTTAGAACCTTTCAGGCTCTTGGTAACCATAGCAGCACAGATGTGAAAACGCACAGTAGACAGCTGATGTGAGAAGTGATGGGGGACGCAAAGAAGCACGAACAGAATTCCTTCCTGATGAAAAGAAATATATCTATTTTTGGCTTTAAACTGTTCCCAAAGCTGGGCTAAGGTTATGTGTCGTGCCTTGTTTACACCCCGCCTTTGGTTCAGCTGATGGCACCAAGATGTGGTCACTGTGTCAGCTGCATGCACCCTTCGCCCAAAGCTGGCACTCCCCGTGGATCCATCCCTCCTCCCAGATTTTGGCTCACCGAGCTCCTATGGTGTCTGCTGCACCTCAGCTTCACTGTGGGTGAACCCTGGGCATCATCTATGGGGCATCATCTGGGCAGAGCACAGGATGAACAAAGTGCTGAGTACCAGAGGGTCGGGCACCAGGCCCTCCATTGGGGACCCAACGTTCCCCTTGCCCAGAGCAGACTGCTGAGGAGGGCTGCTCACATCAGTGAAGCTCTTGGCTGTTGCCGCAAGGATAGGATGAGGCATGAAGAGGAGGAATATTACAAAAGCAAGTCCAAAGCTAGGGGAAGAACCCACGAACACAAAATCATGCCACAGGCTTGTCCTGTCTTTTCAACGGGTGCCCTCTGGACTTCCATCTTTCAGAAACCAGCTTCATGATTAATGACTCTACCTTGAAAAGAAGTGATCACTGAGACCATGCACTCAACCCATGTGCTGATGAACCACCCTCATCCTCCCAGCACAATGAACATAGGATCATGGAACCACAGCATGGTTGGGTTGGGTTGGTTGGAAGGGACCTCAAAACCCACCTAGTGCCACCCCTGCTGTGGGTTGGCTGCCCCCACCTCAGGTTGTCCAGCACCCACCCTTGGCCTCAAGCACCTCCAGGGATGGGGCACCCATTGGGCACACACACCGAGCACCCTCTCCTCCACCGTTTGCCCAGGACAGCTGTGAGCTTTGACAACCATTTCCCAGTGCTGAAGCTCTGCAGCTCTGTGCCCATTGCCCTGGCACTGCTCCAGCTCTGACCCAGTTTTTCCGTGCCGCTGCCTAAGAACGTGGCCCACATCCAAACTTTCTCTCCACAGCCGATGCCAGGGACACTCAGCACTGCCCATGGTCGCTGTGTTCACAGCTGTGTGCCATGCCCCAGTGCTCTGGGTACCAGCAGGGACGCGGGTCACAGCGTGGCTGTGGTCAGGGCAGCATTTCCAACGCACCGCCCAGCATTGGTTTGTGGAAGTGACAGGGTGCTGTTTGTGGGCAGATTTTGTTTTTCCCTCAGGATAAATATTTCATGAAACCACCACATAACTGACAGTTGGACATGAAGGCTATGACGTGTGGTTTTCAGCGAGCTCTCACCATTCCCCTCCGGTCAATTATCTCAGCGGAGCACAGAGCGGTTGAGCCCATCCACAGCGATTTGCTGTGCAACCGAGCTCCAGGACGCACATAGGGACGAGAAAAGCTACAGATGCCAGCGGGCATCCCCTGCCATGTCTGCCCATGAGCCACCCAAGCGGAGACTGAGCCCCCATGGCTCCCTGCCCAACAGCCCATGCCAAGAAGCCAGAGCAGATCTCCCAGCGCAGCGATGCTGCCAGCTCCCGGCGCTGCCGGCAGCGGCGAGTTACACACGCATTGCGCAACGCAGCGCGGTGCTCTCCAGGGCCGCAGTAGCTTTCCAGGACTGCGCGGCGCGGATTGGCCCGCAGCACCCTGCTCTCCTCCCTCCCTGCCCTCCCTTCCTTCAGCACCCTAAACCTACAGAGATTGGACAGCCGGGTGCCACATGGCAGATTGGAACCAGGATAAAAGATGAACAGCGTCTGCTGGGAGTTTGCAAAGAGGTGGCACCAAACTTTGCAGAACGGGGAGCGGGGACGGACAGGCAGACGGACAGCAGAGCTGCAGCCACCCAGGGACGCCCGAACATTGAGTGGCAGCCGTAGAGCAGCCTGTCCCCTCTGCTCCCAGCCATGTCCCTGGTAGGGAAGGAGAAGAGCCATGTGCGCTTGGTCTTCTTGGGCGCCGCCGGCGTGGGCAAGACGGCCCTGATCCGCCGCTTCCTGCTGGACACCTTCGAGCCCAAGCACCGGCGCACGGTGGAGGAGCTGCACAGCAAGGAGTACGAGGTGAGCGGGGCCACCGTGACTCTGGAGATCCTGGACACCAGCGGCAGTTACTCCTTCCCAGCCATGAGGAAGCTCTCCATCCAGAACAGCGACGCCTTCGCTTTGGTCTACGCCGTCGACAACGCCGAATCCTTTGAGAGTGTCAAGAGTCTGCGGGAGGAGATCCTGGAGGTGAAGGAGGACAAATTCCCTCCCATCGTGGTGGTGGGCAACAAGGCGGAGAGCGGCGGTGAGCGGCAGGTGCCGGCAGAGGATGCGCTGTCACTGGTGGAGCTGGACTGGAACAGCCGCTTCGTGGAGACGTCAGCCAAGGACAACGAAAACGTGCTGGAGGTCTTCAGGGAGCTGCTGCAGCAAGCCCGGCTGCCCGGGCGGCTCGGCCCTGCGCTCTGCAGGAGGAGGGAGACCTTCCCCAGCGAGAACGGGATGCGGCCCCCCATGAACAAAACCAACAGCTGCTCTGTGTGCTGAGCCCAGCAGGATGCAGGTGGGCTGCCGGCCAGGACCCCACTCCTCCCCACCCTTCCCTCCTCACCCGGCACTGTGGGGTCAGCGGAGCGCGGGGAGGGAGGCGGATGGGATGGTGCCGCTTTGGTTTGGTTGGGAAGGCGTGGGGAGAGGGCAGGATCCCAAAAAGGGGGGTGTCCACCTGGGATGCAGCATGCACTCAGGCTGTGCTTGCAAGAAGGGGACAGACAGTAGGACAGACAGCAGGCTGCATGCAGCCAAATGCATCTCTATGGGCACTGTGCCACCAGCACCCCTGGGTCCCCTCTGGGTTCTGTGCCCACCTCATCCCAATGCCCACACATGCAGTGTCCTGGTGCAGCTGTGGTTATGATGAGTGTCCGAGGTAGTTGTGTTTGGATAGGCACGTAGAGCATGCGATAGGGCAGCCTATGCATCTCTCCAGTTTTCTATTTCTGTTTGGTTTTTTGTTTGTTTGTTTTTTTTAAGCATACCCAATAAACATGGTGATACAAAGCGGAGTTGGAAAATGTGTGAGTTTCTTCCTAATCGTGTGGATAGGTTTGTGCCCAGACCCTTTTCTCTCCCTCTGCTTTCCCTGCTCTGGTCTCTGTCCTTATCTCAGTGTCCTGGCACTGCCCCACTCACAGCCTCAGCAGCATCACTGCACTCTGTGGGGCCACTGTCCCCATAACCCCCCCATGACAGCTTTTAGCAAGCAGTGAGCAAATGAAAATACAACAGCTCATCCCACATCTGAGTACAGAAATAACAACAGCCCTTAAAAGGCATTATAATAAAAATCATAAACAACATCATGGAGCTGCTGGTACCTCGTGCTCACCTACATCCAGGGGTGTGCTGCGCCCTGGCTCCAACACTGCAAAAAGCACTAGAGCCTTTGTGTTCTTACACTAAAATCATAAGAAAACTGCAAAATCAAGAGGATGGGAGGCCCCCTGACGGCCCCCTTCACTCATAATGTGAAATACCCCCAACCCCTTGACTGTCCCATACTGGGCACAGCACCCAGTGCCATTGTCCAGCCCCAGTTCTGGCCCCCCCTGGGCAGCAGGGAGAGGTGGTGGACCTGTGCAAGGCTTGGGTTGTGGGGCTGAGATGCAGTTCTGAAGTGCAGGTCTGGTCTTTAGGGTTGGGCACAGCCACAGCCCCTGGGAATTGGAGTTTGCAGTGGTGGCTGTGCAGGGTGAGGTTACAAATCAGGCTGTCCCACATCTGTTTGGCTCTTTGTTACAGGAGAAAGATGTGCTTGCAGTGCAATGAGGTGAAGAAGCAAAGCTCACATTCTTCCCCCAGCAGCAACAAAGGGATGTGGATTTTCCTTCCCTAATGATGAGTGCAGCTGTGGGATCCAGCACAGGGATCCTCCTGGGTGTCCACATCATGAAGTGGCTGTGGCTTAAGATAGATCTGGGCTTTCATAAGCAGTCTGATTGGGGAAGACCTCGAAGGTCACCAAATCCACCCCTACTGTGCCTACTGCTCACATCCCCCAGTGCCACATCTACCCTCCTTATAGGGGTCGTTCTGAACTATGGGGGTGGCACGCAGAATCATAGAGTGGCCTGGGTTGAAAAGGAGCACAATGCTCATCCAGTTCCAACCCCCTGCTGTGTGCAGGGTCACCAACCAGCAGCCCAGGCTGCCCAGAGCCACATCCAGCCTGGCCTTGAATGCCTGCAGGGATGGGGCATCCACAGCCTCCTTGGGCAACCTGTTCCAGTGCCTCACCACCCTCTGGGTGGAAAACTTCCTCCTAATATCCAACCTAAACCTCCCGTCTCAGTTTAAAACCATTCCCCCTTGTCCTATCACTATCCATCCTCGTAAACAGCCATTCTCCCTCCTGTTTATACTCTCCCTTCAAGTACTTCCCTTCAAGAATGAAGGCTGCTCTCCCCATCCCCAAAACACTGCCACGACCCTGAGCATCTCTCCATGGAAACTCTCCATCCCCACCTGGTCCAGTGACCCCAGAGCATCCCCAGCCCCATCCATCCTCCCCCGCAGCGCAGCGCTCCGTTCCACATGACGAAGCACATCCCACAGAGATGCTCCGCTCCATTTACAGACACAAACAATCGGGGACCATCACAGCACTGCCTGGGAGAGCTGCACAGCACGGGGGGGGGGGGGGGAGGGGAGGCTCAGCTGCAGCAGCGCTGTGCCCAATGGGTGCTGCTGTGATGGATGGAGGGACGCAACACATGCACTTAAACTGGGGGCACCCGGCCAGAAAGCCAAACATTGTAAAAGGGAGAAGCGGCACGCGCTCGTGGAGGGTGTAATTAGCAGTGTTTGTCTTTGGGGCCAATGCTCAGGGGGAGCACCCTGCAAAGGGCCGAGCAGCGCCGCGCCTTCCACTTGAAATCAGATGAAATAATGTCTGCTCTGATTTCTCCTATCCCGGGGTACAGGCAATGAAACACAACCACGAGCGCTGCACGCAAAATCAGGAGACCACTGCAAACAGAACCAGAACTGCTCCTTTCTGCTGCTGTTGGTACACGCCGTGTTTTCGTCATTATAAATGTAGATTGAGCAAAAAATGGGGGAGATGGGACCACAGAGAGGTCAGGGTCTGCTTTGGATCTGACCAATTCCTTCCCCCTGAGTACAGGGGACAATGGAAGAATTAACATGCAACTTCCAACGTTGGGTGGAGGAGGCATAGGGGGGTCACAGCATCACCAGCAGCACCATGGCAAGCCACCTTGACTAGTAATTGTACTTACAGAAAGCAGAGGAACCTTCTGGCTCATTGTAACATTTTAATAATCCTGACATCATGGCTGCTCTGGGACCACGTTTCCATCAGAGAAATGTACAAGCAACTTGTTTTCAGTGCATCAGTCAGTAAAAAACGAGCAGCAGGAGCACACGTGGAACGGAGCACCACCGTCACTTCCAACCTTCATTAGAGAGAAGGGTGGGAGCATGTAAGTTAAATGGTCAGTTCTGTCTGCGTGGGCTGTAACATAACCTGAGATTGGTGCGTGCCAGAGGAAGACACCATGTGTGCATTCACAGTCTGTGCTCCCTCAGGAAAGCTACAGCGGGTGGTGGTGGAGGTGCCTCTCCCAACCCTAAGAGCTCAACGCTACTGGAAGAGCCCTTGGGAAGAGACCCTTGGGATAAGGGAGAGGGCAGAGGCTGGGCTGCTCCCTGGGCCATTAAGGTTTCACGGGTCTGTTATCACTCCAAAGCCACCTATGGGTGCAGCAGCCGTGCCCTATGGCATCTGCACGTGGGCGCACGCTCTGCTGTGAGATCCCAGGGCAAAGCGCAGCACCTCCCCAGCACCACCACCACGCAGTGATGGCTGTCATTACCTGGGGCTGCGTGGGGACACGTGGCCATCCATGGGCACGCCAGGAGGTCGCTTTGCCGTGCATCCAACGCTCAGGACTGCCCTTCCCCGAAGCTGGCTGTGCAAATGGTGCATTGAGCATCACACAGAGGTACAGCTGGTGCAGGACAGGAATGCTAACAGACACAGCAGTTCATGCACAACGGCGTTGGGTGATCCACAGCTCACACAGCAACCTGTGAGCTGGGGCCACCACAGCTGCCCACAACCCCTACCTCAAGTATGTCACGTCCAGACTCCTCCAGCTCCAATAATTCTTAACATATACAGATGTCCATATACATTTTTTAATTAAAACGCTCCTTCACATACACAATCATATACTGAATTATCAAGAACAATAATAATATATATATATTTGGAGCAGAAGTAGCAAAACAATCTGCTCTGCCAGTGCCACCCACAAACTAGACATGAACTAAAGGGGGGGGGGTTGACAGATTTGGAGCACAGAGGGAATGCTCTTGGCCTAAAAACGGGGCAGCCATGCAGCAACAGTGCTATGGAAGGTACAGCCAAAGCAACACACGTGAAAAACACCAGTTTGTGAAAAGGTCCTTTTGTGAAGATTCTTGAGACCTAAGGCCCATCCTCAGCATCAGCAGCAACCTTAATTTCATTAATGGTTGACCTCACCAAAGCAGAAAAAAAAAAGAGTATGATGCAGAAAATACAAGTTAGACGCAAACACCAACAGGTGGGTTTTGGCCAAAAGCTCAATTTCTGTCTGCACACCAGGGAGGATGCTAAATTTTAAGTGTATCAGATATACAGAAAGGTGTTTTTGCTCAACTGTAGGGGTGACAAAAGCTCTCATTAGCTCAAGATGTAGGGGATGCTGAGGTCTGGGCAAAGAGAACTCGAGAAAGCTGACACTGAAAACCTCTTTATAAAAGAGAAGGCAGCTCTGTTCCAAGAGTTTCAACACCAATACCCAAAGAGGAAAAAGAAATAGAGGAAAGGGGAAGCAGTTCAAAGTAAGAAACAACTGAGATGATAACTGGGCAGTATTGTGGCAGTGCTGGCACTGAAATCCAACGGGCTGCAGACTGGAAATTGTAGCTCTGTAACAGAAAGCACCCCAAAATCCAGGTCTGAGCACTTGGAACCACGTACACCTGCCAGCAAGTGCCCCCTCCCATGGGCAGCCTGGGTTGCCCACTGGCCAGGGTTTGCTGTGACACACACAGCCTCTGGCAGTGCAGCCAAAGCCCTGAGAGCAGAAACCCAGCTGCAGAGCACTGCCCAGGTGTTCGATGCTCTGCTCTGCTCCAGCTCTTTGCATGGGTTGTTCTCCCTCTCAAATGAAGCAGAGCTGCCCTGCACACTCGGCTGCTACGGATCTCAGATAAACCCATGCTGTGGGCATCCACCACCAGAACAGCCCCAGGAAGAGAAGAGCTGGTGTTACAGAGGTGGGAGGACATAAGGCTCACCTCGACAAGAGAGACCATAGAATCAGACTCACCAAGGTTGGAAAAGACCTACAGGATCACCCAGTCCACCTGCCACCAATCGCTCTCACTGCCATGCCCTCAACACAACTCAATGCTCCTTGAACGCCTGCAAGCTCGGTGGCTGCGCACCTCCCTGCCAGCCCAGCCCAGCACACGGCCAGGCAGCGGGCTGCCATCCTTCCCACCGGCTGCTATGGGCATCACCTCCCTCATTTCAAAGCCTGAAAGACCAACAATAAATTGATCTGTGCTCCTATCCAGCTCACCCCTTGCAACTCAGTGGAATCAGCCATCTTTACCTCGAGCACAAGGTGCCAACGTGGGGATGGATGGGCAGAGCTGGAGGAGCCCTCAGCCTCCAAAACTGCATTCAAAACCCACCCACAGCACTGCTGTGATAAAGGTGAGGGGCAGCTCTCCAACACCAGCCACAGCCACTCCATGCACCCATCTGGATGCAATAGACTCACTGCACTTACAGGAATCTGCTCCCTCCACGCAGCAAACTCTGCTTTTTTATTTTGTCCTTTAGCATCCCCTGCACAGAAGAAAAATACACATTATTTGAACAG